TGTTTTGATTCTCAATAATAATTTTACAAAAACGTTTTCACTTTTATTTTATTTATTTAAACGGATGATCTAATTTTGTTTTATATAATTAGAAAATTATTTTTACACAGAATTTATAAGAGATCAAATTATAAAATCCGCATATATGCATGTACTTAATCTAGTAGATATATAAAACAACTTACAGCTGCTAATGGCGCAAGAAATTATCTACTTTTATGAAAAGAAAGAAATGTTCGCATTTTAAAAAAGAAACATCTTTCCGCGGAGGTTCTTTTTTAGAAGGTTGACAAAGGGATTCAGGATTCTTGTCTTGCTCTAATGGAAATATCAAGTTTCATGGATTGTCTTGGCTTGTGGTTCAGATGTATCTTTTTTTTTGGCATCTAATCTTTATTCATAGAAATACAAGGACCGAACACAAGGGTGGTTCAGATGTACCTAAGTACCTAACCCTCTATTGTAATTTTTATTTTCTCTTTTCTCTAACACCTTCTAGCTTCATGACCGAAGGTTAAATAGCATTTTGCTACTTTATTTTCTTGATGTAACGAGTCTCTTAATGATAATTTAACCAGAGTTTTTAAATAAAAAATATATTTCAGGATCCACTAATCGACTTACGAAATCGATAGTTCAGCGGTTACACAAAAATATGGATAAGTAGTATAAATGTCATGTCGAGGAATTTAGAATTGCACGAGATAGATTTTTATACTGCAGTTAGTTATGTCTAACATTTTGATAGACAATCTGATAGGACTAATAATCTCCTGACTTCAAATAAAATAATCACTCTAATACCTAGAGATTTTAGTATTGGAATTGATACGCACAATATCATTATTGAGACTGAATCCAAAAAAATTGAAAAGGATAAGGGAATTGCATCTCACGTGATTGCAAAAACTCTTTGATTTTTCATGTTGTTATTTCCTTACGTTGATGATGGATTTAGGTTTAGAATTGATATTGGGTTTGTAGACACGACTGGATGCTTTATAACATAACTAAGTCTCACATTTGTGATCAAGGAATAAGCAGAAATTCGACATAGGTCCTGCGAATACCATGTACATGCCTACGTAATTTGAGTTTTCTTTATATCAAAGTAATACTCCTTCAAAGTAATTGACTATTTCAAGAAGGTCAAAATATTTTTGATTTCTTCTTCAACATC